CCTGGAGCGAGCCCCAGAAGACCCTGGCTGGCGGGGACAGGCTCCCTCTGCCCGTCCCCGCCCGTGAGAATCCTAAGAATAAAGTACTCTCGGGTTAGCCACGGCCTGGAGAAGGGAAAAGTTGGAGGCAGGTTTGCGGGCCGGGCGACCCCCCTAAGCCTCCACCCCGGGGATCTTGGGTCTCCCTGGCTCCTGCCGCGGCCCCTAGACGTGGGGCGCCCTCCCCGGCCGCGTGGGCACCCGAGGCGCTTCCACGCGCCGGCGCGGGGCTCTTCTGGGTCCCGCCGCTCGCCGCCCCGCGTCCGGGTGACCGCTGGCTTGGCGCGTCTCGGGCACGGGCCGCACCCCCAGGCCACAACGGTCCCCTCCAAAGCCACCGAAGAAGTGGTGCTTCCCTCCTCCTTCCCTCCCGTGTCTGCGCGTGGCCCGCACCCCTGGCCACTCCTTCCTGGGACGGCGCAGTGGATTGAAATAACGCAGCTTGTTTATTCCAAAGCATCTGCATCTGCATCTGCGTATGTCTCCCCGGCTCTGTGTTTTGGTTTTAGTTTCCTTACAGTACTGGGGACTGACCCCAGGGCCTTGACCCTGAGCTACATCTCCAGCCCCTTGTTGATGTTTTATTTTGAGACAACCGTTCCCTAAATCACTAATTTGCCCAGGCGGGGCTTAAATTTGGGATCCTCCTGTCTCAGCCTTCCCGGCTCCCGCCAACCTCTTAATCTGTTATATAAATCACCAAAACCTTTTTGTGACGGCTCATTCGTCCTCTGCCCCTTCCTCCTTCCCATCTGCTTCCTAATGAATGCCTTGTTGAATTAACGAATGGTTCTTTCTGGACACTGTTTTTCCCTGTATCTTATCAGTCCCACCCTAGTTCTGTTCAATTATTTTTTTCTCGGTAGAGTACTTTTCCCACCTTTCTGTCCTTGAAAACTAACTGATGCCTAGTGACCAAACTGTGGTCATCAAATTTCGGGCGGGCACTTTCGAGCTACCTTATTTAAATATTTAATATGTTATGAGGCAACAATTTGAGTCTGTTTCTAGTTGTTGAGGTAACAGTGTCGCAACTGAAGAAAGAAGTAAATCACAAGAAGAAGAAAGTGGTAGAGAAAAGAGGAAGAAATGTCCTAGCACATTCTAGCACATTCTAGAATGTTCTAGCTTGATACTGAACAACAACAGCGTTGGAAGTCTTTGTAACCTTTTCCTGTTCTTATCTGTTTTGTAAAGAAGAATTTTTCACCAACTAGAGTTGACTTTTGGTTTTAAAAGTTTCAGTTTTCCTGGTTTCTTGTTTGTTTGCTTTTTGCTTTTCTGTTTTCAAAACTCAGGATTGAACGGACAGCCTGGTGCATCCTAGGAAAGGGACCTGTCACTGAGCGACATTCCCAGTCCTTCTATATTTTATTTTGAGCCAGAGTCTTGCTAAATTGGCCAGGTTGGACTCTAGGTTGCGATCTTTCTGCTTCATTCTCCTGAGCCGGTAAGGTTATAGTCGTGGGTCTCCACACTCGCTCTCTATGGAGTTTCTCAACGCACTTGAAAATAGTGAGAGGAGAATGTTGACTCCTTCGGACCTTTCTTTTTTTTTTTTTTTTTTATTTGTTTTGTTTTGTTTTTTTGGTTTTTTTTTTCCGGTACCGGGAACCGAACTCACGACCTTGCACTTGCCAGGCAGGCACTTTGCCGCTGAGCTAAATCCCCAGCCCCCGGACCCTTCATTTTGATTCAGCAGTTTTTAAAACATGGCCAGTCTCCTTTCACTTATTCTGCCTTTGCCATTGCTGACTCCATCAGTGTTTTATTTTAAAGCAAATCCTAGCATCATTTGCTTCATAATTCCTTCACTATCTCAAACAGGAGTACTTTTTATTAACAATCACGAAACCATCATCTTTTTTTATTTTTTATTTTTCATTGTTTTATTTTTTGGTGCTAGAGCTGGAACCCTGGCTGTCTCGCTTGCAGGCAAGTTCTCATACTGAGCTCCATCTGTGGCCCAGTGATTAAATGTTTTTAATAATACTATAATGTTATTATTCTCTAATACCAGTTTTCAAATTCCTTGTCTCATAAATTCAACTTATATTTTCAGGAGAAAAAAACCCCTACACAAACATAATCTGTACATGTTTTTAGTTTTATGAAAATTATTATGGCATTTTTTTCTTTCTTGATTTGCAAACATCAAAATCAGTTTAGCCTATAGAGTGGTTTGTTAATCTACATCTTTCTGTAATTTAAAAGATGATATATAATATAGGGATTATTTTGTCTGTGCAAGTTTGGATGGACCCTCCAGAGAATTCAGTAAATTTTTTTTTTTTAGTGTATTGATCAAAATCTTAGTTTTACATTTGCTGGTTCAGCTGTATTTTAAAATTTCTGTTTATATCACTTTTGAGTTTGGGAATAGAAACTTTCAATCTATTGTAATATAGAATTTCCTAATAAGCACCTATGGAGAGAATTTTTTTTCCTCAGAATCTGGAAAACATTTCCCACTAGACATGCTTTTTAATATTCTTCCCCTAGCAACTTTTATAAGAGCTGTCTTCTCAAGCTTGATGCCTGTGTAAGGACTTTCTTGGTGCATCTGTGAACTAAAAAATAGCTATGGTGATGTTACCAGAGACTTGAATAAATGGTTCGTGTGTTTACATGGAGATAATTTGCATTTTGTTGGACTTACAAACTTCCTCTGCAGTGCTATTATTTATAGATAGGTTTTCTTTCATTCTCTAGTTTCTATTTTATTTATTTGTTTGTTTATATTTATTTATTTATTTATTGCCAGAGTGCTTTGACCTGGATGTTTTAATTGAAAACAGAGCTTTCTTAGGTGTTGTATAATCATTTGTTCTGGTACATTGTTTTGGCTATTTGTTTGCTTTGCTGAAATACATTCTCCACGCATGGAGCAGTTCAAATCCTAATTCTGACATGAACAACAACCAGCATTTGTTGAAGTATACGCCCAGATCTGTGAAAAATACAGCAGAGTGATGTCCCAGTTAGTCTTCCGATGGCTCCTGAAGGTAGGTACAGGAAGTCCCATCTCGGTGGAATTAAACCTCCTCATTTGCTGAAGATCTCATAGCTGGTAGCTGGCAGAGTTGATGTTTGAATATGATCACCATGACTCTTTTCCGTCTGTTTGTTTGGCTTATGCGACCAGGTTTCTCTGTGTAGTTCAGGCTGGCCTTGAACTCACTGTGTAGCCCAGCCTGGCTTTGGACTTGTGGCAATCTACCTGCCTCAGTCTCCTGAGTGCTGAGATTACAGGTGTGTGCCACCACGCCCTGACTGGCATGACTTTTTAAGTATCTGCTTCCATTGTCCAGTAACTCTGTGACATGTGATCTTTGATTAATTAAAATATTAGCAATATTTTAAAAGCATGATTTCTGTTTAACGTTCAAAGTAGGCTGGCTGAGTGTCTTTGGCTTGTTTTGTGGTTTCTGCCAAGGTGGGTGTTTCCTCTGAGCTCTTCCTTGTTTGCAAACTTTTGCCATTCCCTCTCGGTTAATTGAAACCTTGGGTCGGGGTGGGGAGATGGAAAGAGGCCTAGTTGACAGTTTCGTAATTTGAAAAAAAAAAAAAAAAAAAAAAAAGAGGTATGGTGGCACATGCCTGTAATTCCAGCACTCAGGAGGCTGAGGCAGGAGGATCGTCACAAGTTTGAGGCCAGCCGGGAATACCTAGTGAGTCTGAGACCAGCTTGGACTACATAGCAAGACCCTGTCTCAAAGAGCCCTAAAAACAAGCACCATAGTATATGTACTCTGAATATATAAGGATATTGCAAAAATGTTGTATAATAAGTTTATAACTCATCTCCAAGAATCATTGCTTACATTTTTCATATTTGCTTCTTTTAAATGAAATTAAAAAATCATAGTAGCCTCAAGATATTTTTTGTCTACCCCAATGTCATTTCCCTCTCCTCAGAAACAATTTTGATGTATATCCTGCCCTTCCTGGTTTTTACTATTTCTAAACATACAGATTTATGTTCATATAAAAATGTATTATTAATGAAAGTTAGAATTTTTACTCAGTGTTGTATTTTGGAGGGCTATTGATGCTGACACATTAGGATCTAGTTGGGGTTTTTTGTGTTTTTGTTTTTTGAGATAAGAGTTTCACTTTGTAGTTCAGACTGGCTTTGAACACACCCTGCATAGCCCAGACTGGCCTTGAACTCCTGGGGATCCTCCTTCCTCAACCTCCTGAGTGCTGGGATTACAGACTGCGGCACCGCACCAGCTGTTTTGTTTTGTTTTGTCGGGGGAGAGTGAACTCTCTATCACTGAGTTACACCTCCAGCCTGGTGTATTCATTTGAACTGACTATGAAAATAAAGATGGTGAACAGTATTTCATCATACGACATACCACAAGTCAGTCACCTGGTCCCCAAGTGATGGGTATTCACACTGTTAGTTTCTTGCTACAAAAAACTGTGCTGCCGAGAATACACATTTGTTTCATCTGGGGGCTGAACACTGCTGCTCCGCTGTCCAAGCAGCCCACCGGGATCATAACCCAGCCCCAATAAAATATTAGAGGGACAAAGTTTAACTGAAGGAAGACACTTTATTTGTAAATAGGAAAAGGAGAAGATAGATAGCTACCCTGATAAGAATCAGGGTAGGGGGCTCCAGAAAGATGGAGGACCTGTGGGCTTTTGTTCCTAGCTACTTTTATAGGAGGGTGAATGATGCTTCTCCCGCACCCCCGACCTGGAGCTTGCCCTAACTGGATTGGCTTCCCAGCGCCTCTGCCTAATGTCATTTCTTCTGGTGGTCTACACGCAGCTTTTGTCTGTTTACTTGTCCTTGACCTACCTTTCAAG